ATGTGATGCAGAAACCACAGTGAGGAAGTAGAAGAAATCCAACATGAGAGTATCGCTGCAAACGTGAGAGACTTGTCAGATCTGTGCTCCTGTCTCTAAAAGAGTTGGTGTGAGACTGCATGTTACTCACAGATTTATTTTAGAAATGTATTAAATCTTACTTTTAGAAAGGGAAAAATAAAGCAAAACCAGTACACTAAGCAATTGCAGTTTGGTTCTAGTAAGGCATTTAAAATACACAGTACTGCAATACCACTTCCTTGCATATCAAGAAGGAAATTGCATTATTGGATCAAGCCAGAGGTCCATCCAGTCCAGTACTTTATCTTCAAATACTGAATCTCATATAAGACTAAAAATTTAGTTATCTATTTTAAAAGTGTTTGATGCATTTCTTAACATTTTGCTATTTATACAGCCAGTTAAGTTTGTTAAACTGTGATTATTTATTTTCTTGTGAAGTTTGTCAATCTAAAGCATCTTTTGCAGTGTTACACCAATTTGTGATATAGGCATAGAAGATTACCAAACACCCAGGACTCCAAAAAAACCCATGTGTGTTTTCACCTGTGTGCTACCCTGTACTGTGGCTCTCCCCTTGGCATTGTTAAAGGGATGCTCACAGTTGAGGCAGCTGTATACAATGCTGTCCTGGTACCGAGAGACCTGTGTTCAAGTTTCATATTACAAGATCAGCAAGATGTGAAGTGAGGTAACTAGAAAATGCAAGCCATTAACATAGCACAGATTATGAGGTTTGATAAGCTTCAAAGAAGAGGAAAAAAACAATTTCCAACTTTTTACATGTGCAATTATATAAGCAATTCTTCTATACCACAAAGGATACAGGAGCTACTCCTGTAAGTATTTATTTAAGGACTAAGAATCAAATCCATACAAAGCTTTTTCTAGTGCTACTTCAAACAATAGCTACAGCTACAGTGCATTCTACAAATCACTGTACTGATGTATCCAAACAAAAGGAAAAGCTAAGAAAGATAAAATGAGATGAAGTCACTGAAAAAAGCCAAGTATGTAGTGTCCTGCCATAACCAGTACTGTAAAGCACAAGGTCTTTATTTTCTCTCTTCTATCTCCAAAGTGTTTTTCAAAACATATGGCATGAAAGAAGCTATATAAAAATGCCTTCAATTGTTTATCTTAAAAATGTGACTGCTCTGCACTAGTAGTATGAAAAAGTATATCAAGGGGACATTATTATTTTGTCTTCTCTTTTGATAAAGAATTCACTACACATGGCAAACGATTGGCTGGCAAGGGTGCATAAAGAAGCAAAGCACCAAACCTGCTATCTTCCCAAGTTCTACCAAGAGCAAAAGGAGATAGCTCTGTAACTGTCACCAGGAAAAATGAACAACATTACTGTTGATGTTTTTGCATTCATTCCTATGTCTGATGAGTTTTAGACACCTGAACTGAGTCATGAGAAGTATTTTGAAGTAAATATTAACAGCTTACAAAACCAAATCACAGGGCCACATTTCCTATTGAAATACCTCCCAGAGCGAGCTTGTGTTTTGAGAAAGTATTTCAGACGTGAAGGTGTGCATTTACAATGGATTCTGTGAAGTTCAATATACCATGTAAATGTTTTCTCATGGAAAAAGAAAAAAAAAAAAGGTAAGCAAACCCCTTTTAAAGTTCACTCTTAAATTCAGTGATCTAAAGATAACGGAGCAAATACTCCAGCTGGTTTAAAATGTCAGAGCTTCAACTACTCCTAGGGAGCAATGAAAGCCTACATCAGTTGGGGATGCCCCTCTTAACATATAAAAATGGTCACGAACAGGGACAGGTCAGTATTTAGTTCTTCTGGCATAAGACCCTCCTATTATATTCATCCTAACACAACTTTTGCCTCAATGCCTTTAAAATTCAGCATTTCAAAAGGTAAATGAAAAATGCATTTTCCAATGAAAAGCTATTGTTACCTGAATCACCTGGAGCTGCAGCAGAAAAATGATGAAAGACATTTAAATGAGATGTTTAAATATAGATTGTAAATATGAGACTGAACATTAATTAGATTCGTAGGGTCTTCCCTTGCTTTAGCCTCTGTACTACCACTCAGTCTTTGTTTACTGTCATTTATCTTCTTTGTTTGATGACGTTTGACTAACAAATACATTGATGAATTGCATCTGTAAATGCCATCCATATATCACTAAAATAGGATGTACTCAGTGCTTCAAGCACACTGATGCTAAAGGATTTTTTTATTATTATTTGAACTTTCAGTACTTAACACAGGAAATATTTCTGCTTTGCTGGATAAATTTCCTGATTGTTATTTTAATTTTCAGTGAACAAACAGCTGCAGAATAATATGACTTAATGAAGCATTTCTAATAAAATCCAGCAGAAGTTAAAACAGGGGAATAGAACTGCTTGATCACTGATAGTTGTATCCAGAACCATATTTCAGGATGGTGATCACATTTCCATTTATAGATGAGTATCAGGTAATGTGATTTTCTGTCTTACAAAGTCAGTGATTTCCTTTAGTCTGGTAACTAGTTAGCACTGTTGCACTACTTATTTATAGTAAGTAAAATATACAACATAATAAATGCAGCATCTTTCTAATGCACTATTTAGGCTTTATACTGGTTGGTAAGTAGCAACACAGACAACAATAAATTTAAGTGTGAAGATGCTCAGATCTCAAAAACTCCATGGTTATATTTTGTTTACCAAAAACATACTGCCTGCATTTGTAAAGATGTCTTTTATCAAGTCTGTCATCACCTATAATGAAATTATGAAACTTCTTGCCTGCTACATTTTTCTCTGCCACCACAATTCAATGTAAAGTATTATTTGCTTTATGTAAACCTAGAGAGGGTTCAATGAATCATCACTTTGCAACCTGCCAGTAAAACAATCTCCAATATCCGTCTGTACACACATATCTATTTACTTCCATTCAGAACAAGTTTTTCATGTATTCCCCACCAGAACTATCAAGTGCATTACAAGCATCTACACATAAAGCTGAGATCCCTCGGATCATAAGAAGAGCCAGGTAAAAAGGTTATCCCATGTGTCCAGTACGATAAAAGATACTGCCAGATTAGTTGTCATTCTCTGATTAAAACATAAGATTGGATTTTATCTCAGAGTCACCCACTACCAGCAGTGTATCTAAAATTAATACCACAATTTTGAAACCCCCTTTATGTACCAAAAAACATGTGGAACCAGTGAAGAGTAAACCTGATTTGCTATAAACTGAGCAAAGCTTTCCACTGAAATTATGGCACTTAGGTAGTTTATATTTGTAAGAATAACGGTACTGCAGTTTTGGAAATTGGGACTACATGAAACCAAAACCACATGGTTTTCAATACTGCCTCAGCAGTATCAGCTCTCTGAAATAAAATATTAATAATTAAATGTATATTATTGCTTTACTACTGTTCATTATACACTTACAAAGCAATTTAGGCATTAATATGAGATGACTGCACAACTACTGTGAAAAAGTATAATGAAACCTGTAACCTTTGCCACCTCTGATAAAAATACCTTAGTATGATCTTTCCCAACTTCAGCTAAGCTATACGCCTCATACCATTGAACTACTATTTTTTCTAGTATTTACCCTACACTACAGAAAAGAATCTTAATTTATCAATTTGACTTCACTTAGATTAGCCCATAAAGCAGCTTTAAAGTGTTAAACATATAGCAGGCTGAATGCTAAAGTCTGAAACTAGTTGGTAAGACAGAGAAACCAGATAACGATTATCATTTAGTCAATAGCAATTTAAATGTATCCACTGTAGTGCGAAGACCCTACGATCCCGAATGCTTTACAGGGCTTTCAGAGACAGGAGTTGAGTATGTTTATTATTTAAATTGACAGTTCTGCAGGAGTAGAAGCACGGTTCTTTAAATACTGAGCAAGTGTCTACCGGGGGGGAGGAGGAAGGTTAGTAGAAGTGAGGTACTTAGTGCTTTAAAAGAAAATACTGATCATCTCCAAGCAAAAGCTGGAAAGAGGGAACTGTAAATACACATACATTTTAAAACGCTTTAAGCAATGATTTTAACTCACGGTAAGAAACATACAGAAGAATCATGCATGGCAACTCCTAACAGGGCAGTGGAAGCTCTTGCTCTTTATTCTTTGCATTAATAATGTGGTGTCCAATCCTACAGCTCCACAGGAACAAAGCAGGTTATTTTCAAACTTTCTCTTGCAAAGCTATAAATTGGATGGAATAAGGGAAAAGCCCTCTCACTGTGGCATATAGAACCTGAAATATATTTAGTAGGTAAATAAGTCCATTGAAATGCAAAGAAGGCAACGTGGAGAGACAAGATATGTTTCATACTATATACCCACAACTTGGGGAGCACCACAGGCAGAAAGAAACGAAGCCAGAGACTGTCTCTTTATAGCTTTTTTCTTTTTTAGAGGATACATAAAGGGACTCCTCGCTCTTTCAGCTGCTCTCCGAAGGCGGCCTATAAAGCGTCCGGGCAGAGTAACCGCCCCCAAGTCCCCGAAGGTCCTGCGAGTTACCGGCCACCCTTCCTATAAAAGTTGAAAAATGGGAGAGTTCCCCTACTCCATCCGCCAACGCCCCCCTCGCCCTCTCTCCCCTCGCCCCCGGCTCTGCTGAACCGTAAAGTCAAAGAAAATGAAAAAGGAAAACAAAAGCCTTGTGGATCGCCCGGCGCAAGGCTGTAGCTGGCTGCCCTAGGCAC